GGACCTTGTGGCTTGCAGCTAATGCCATGTCTAACGCATGCAGAGTCTTTCAAGAGTTCCAGGTGCAAAGCCGTCGGATGCCAGGTCACGAAGACCCGAATCCCTGGTCGATGGTCCACTGGACCGTCATAGGCAAGCCCAGAGATCGCCGAACTTTGAACTCCAACACCTCGGGGAAAGTCCAACGATGTTCTTTCTAAACTTCTAGACTTTGCCACTGACCTGAAACACCGCCTGCACGTGTCTCAACATCGATCCTAGGACACCAGCTGCCCTGAAAATTATCAACCCAACACCTGACAGACCTAACACAACTGGCCCGATGGGCTATGCTCTGCTTCTTAGGCACAGGATGACCCTTGAGGGCCCCATCCTCCAAGAGCCCGGAAGCCTGGACTCTGTTGGCCTCGGCCTCCTCCGTCCTGGGACCCGGGACCCAACTCGAACTCCACATGGCTCTCAACAGAATACAGTAGAGAAGTCGATCCGGGTTGAGGTTACTTGAGGTTTCCAACCAGAATGCCCCACGAATGTCTTAGAGTTGGCGAATTACGGACTGCTGGTTCACTGCGGCGAGAATTCCTGCGACAAGGGTGCGAACCAGAGATTGAAGAATCAGTGAAGAGTGAACGTGGATGAGAGGTGATATCATGCAAGAGAGGTTTTACCGCTGCTTGTGTGGGTAGTTGGCGTGCCCGTGTAGTTGGACCTCACGGGTCACGGGGTGAAGACAGTGAATGGTCTCATGGAGTCGTGGAGTGATAATTCAATGGGTGGTGATGTCCAGCGTAGCCGGGACGAGCCCGCATACAGGGTGGTCAGAGTGCTGAGTGTAAGTCGGTACTGCTTATACGGAGGTGCAGACCCCCTAGGAACATGTTGCTTAGGTTTTCGACTTTTGCGGCTTTGTCGACAGGGGCGACGCAGGCTTTCTTTTAGCTACGAGTACACAGCCATCCGAATGTCTGGACAGGCCAGGCCGATGACAATCATGATGATGGTTCTGCGGGGTCAGGGCGGCGACACCATCCGCTTCACTTGGATGCTGCATGATTCGTGTTCCCCCGGCGAGCACCTTACATCTCGGCGCTGCAGCAGCTGCACGATTTCACGTCGTTTGCCAGCCTGGGGTGCTTGCATGCAGCATGTCAGCATGTGGAGGGCTTGCCTTACGGTGACTATGGTGACCAGCCAATCTGCCGACTCAGGCCTCCTCTACTGTCTACAATCTGCCTCTGTCTGAGTGAATACCCGTCATTAAGTCAAACCAAACTCTCTTTCCGAAGCCGGCGCGCCTGCTCGAGGCTCTCTGTAAATCCAGCCAAGAACTCCTGAGAAGCAGGTGCACAGGAGGCACCTGCCAGTCTCGTGCGAAATCCACTCAAGGCAGTCCTCTAAAGCAACCATCGTCGCGTTGTTGAGGAATTCAACAGTGTCGGAATGCTGGAGAAACTCCTCGAGCTCATGCCGCGACTCCTGGCCACCAGTAACGCCGCGTTCTCAACAAAGAGGCGCACTCGACTGCAAAGCTATAAGTATACTGCTTGGTGGGAAGCTAGCTCGTTGGCATCGCGCTCAGAAACCAGGTTACCCGTCCGCAGAGATGCACAAAGGGCAATTTCATCCATACTATCAACTTGGAACAAGCTTTAAGCTCACCTTGCTCGGCCCTGCCCAGTTTAGCATACATGCATACATGCATACGTGCATACATGCATGCACACAGTACACACGTACACACGTACACACGTACACAC